TTGTTTGAGAAATCGAAAAAGACGTATAAAAAAATTTGATTATTTCTTAATGAATTATGTATTAAATGTAGGTACCTAATAAAATTGAGTTTATATTACAAAAATTACATGTTGAATTCGAAAAAGCAACTCACCAAGCTGCTTCTGAAGTTTTTGAAGATGTACAATTGTTATCGTGTAGATTTCATTTAGGGCAATCGTGGTAGAGGAAAGTAAGTACAAAATAAACTCAATAAATTACTAATTAATAATTAATAAGCTTTCAAAAGTATAAAAATAAAACAACTTGAATATTTCAGGAGAATAAAATTGAAAACAGTTTTTATCTTTATTCGTTTGATCGGTACAACAAACATGTCAATGGCTGCCTATGTGTTTCAATATAAAATAATATTCGTCCACAACACATATGGTTATAACGGCCGTAATATTTGTGATCACGCAGTATTATGGCATTGCAGGCTGCGGCTATTGTTCAGTGAATACCGCGCTCAAATTTTTATTTCGTGCAATTACAACAGTTACCGAACTTGGCAGCATAAAAATGAGAAATCCAGTAAGATACCGGGATGGTACTTGGTAGCTTTCTCAAGATTTTTTAAAGGAAGTGGATAGAAAAATTGATAGAAAAGCTTGGCTTGGGATCATGACCCTTCACCGTAATAATAATAAATATACATATACCTATTTTTTTTTTTTTTTAATTACTTATGCCTAGTACCTATTTAAAAAAATAACTGTCTACAGTTATACAAATATATCAACTTTTCTTGATTTTTAAAATATGACATCAAGAACTTCTTCAGGATAAATAACCACTTTTCTATGAATGCCAACAGACAACAATGATATAAAAATGTTATCGACCTATTGAGATGGGTTTAAAAATAACGATGAAATACAAGTGAAAAATCTTTTTATCAATTAACAAGTAACAAATTTATCAAAATTGAATTCAGTAAAAAAAATATATCGTTCATTTAATAATGTTTGGTAATAAATAACTAAATCTGATTTGGCATTAAATAACTTTATTAATAGTTAAATACACATCATATCATTTTGTAAATATTTTAAATACCATTAAAATATTTTTCTTAAGATTGTAATAGTCTGTTTATTTTGATACTTCTATGCCAAATTACATTAAACTACATCAATTTAATAATCAATTGAAAAAAAATTAGTAACCAAACTATTTCTTGTTTTTCTATAACTCTCCTTTAAGAGTAGCTATTAATTCTCCGCCTTCTTTTAATTCTTTAATTATATCCAATCCTCCAATCAATGATCCTTTTACATAAACTTGTGGGTATGTTGGCCAATCAGAATAAACTTTTAGTCCTTGTCGAACTTCTTCATCAGACAAAATATCAAATGTTTCGTAATCAATACTGTTGGATATAATTTTATATTAATAATATTTTAACAAAGTAATATACTTATATTTCATAAACACTATTTAATGCTTACCCAGTTTGGTTTAATATTTGGATCAACTGATTACTAAATCCACATCGAGCAACTTGTTTGTTGCCTTTAATAAATGCCATAACATCAGCTTTATGTATAAGTAATTTAAGCCTAAAGTAAAAAATAAATATATTAATGCAAATTAAAAATATATAATTGAAAATTGATAATATAATCCAATATATATATAAGTTAATAATTTTAGTATAAAAAATAATGTATGCTGATTATAAAAATTATTTCCATTAAATATAATTACATTTTAGGTAATTAAAGTAAGTAAATTTGACTTTTTATTATATTCAAACACACAAAATGTCATAAGAAAAATATCAAATAACTTTAAAAATTATATTTTTAATATAAAAAGAAAAATAACTCACCTGTCGTTAAGATTAGTTTTACTGCTCTCTACTTTTAATAAATTATCCAGTTCACCATTTTCTTTCAATTCTTTCACAATGTCTAATCCTCCAATCAATTCACCATTAATATAAAGCTACAAAATCACAAATTTTGTAAAATAATATTACAATATTCACCTATAAAAATTAAAATAATTTTACCTGTGGATATGTCGGCCAATTGGAATATGTTTTCAATTTTTCTCGAACAACTTGATCTTGTAGTATATCAAATGTACTAAATTCAGCATTAATATTGTTAAGTAAATTTACAATTGCTGTACTGAATTTACATTTAGGCTCAGACTTAGATCCTTTCATAAAAAGCATGATAGGAGCAGAATTTATTAATGACTTTAATCTCAAATTGATGTCTTCCACTTTTTGATCTGTTTTTTCACTTTTAGTTAGCTAAACATAAAAATAAACAATACATAGAAAATCTTAACATCTTAGCTTTTAGTTAATTTAAAAGTACCAGTGCTTGGATTTTTTTATTTAGCTGTATTGGATCAGCACCATCTAATACATCAACTTGAACACCATTACGAAACATTATAAATTTTGGTACAGCAGATACATTATACTTTAATGATATTTCAGCAAAATCTTCAGCTAAACACTTAGCAATTTTAATGCTCTGAAATATTCAAAAAATATTTTAATGATTTCATTTGCACAAATATTACTATAAATATTACCTGAAATTCATTTTCTAAAACTAAATCTTCTAAAATGTTATTCATATGCTGGCATGGTTCTGACCAATCGGCATAGAAATGAATAACAGACAATCCATTTGATCTGAAAACCATGAAATAATGTATTAAATTCACGGTACTTTCCTTTTATAGGAAACTATCTTATTTTCTGAAACATCTTAATACTGTTATTTAAGAATCAAAATTTTGCTACTCTCTTATCATCACAGACTACCTTATTTTTATTTATATTAACAAATCAAATTTAATATTTCATGCATTTTTTTAATACATGTAAGATGTTAAATGCAAAAAAAAAAAGTTTTACTACAATAATGAATGATTCATTAATAATTTTATTATATGTTAGATAAAGTTGTATTTTAATTATTTTAAAATTTTTGGCCAGATAAATTCAGCAAAATATAATTTTAAATTATGATGTACTGAAATGTGATATTTTTTGTTCTTCTACTTTGCTAACCCCCACTTTATGAATGTGTGCTGTATTTAAAGAATCTACAAAATTTTTGTTATGGTTTACAGTCAAATGTTAAAAACCCACTTCTTCAAGTTTGCTAGAGTTGTGCTTCCATCAAAAAATTAAAAAAATTGTTGTACCCTTTTTTATGTTAAACAATAATTCACTAAGAAAAGTAGACAAATATAGTCGTCAAAAAATCCATTGTTGTGAAAGTATTCTGCCTGCATTATTTTTGCACTTAAAATAGGCTTTTGTCAACCTCAACAATTTTTCTTGGGTTTTTTGTCTCAATACTGAAAACAAAATTTTCCCACAAATAGTTATTATAGTCTAAGGAAGTATTTTTGTTTTATTTTCAAATTTTTTTTGTACTATATTATAGAAATCAACCCTTCAGTCCAAGCAAAAATAAATTGTATATCAGTAGTAAAAAGAAATGACTGTTATTTACATAGTGAATAATTTACTTTAACCAAGTATTATTTTAAACACTAATCTATATAAACAATTTTTAATATATTTCCAAAATACAGTTTTGCGTCATGACCATTTTTACATTTTAATTTAGTACAAAATATGACGTTCCTGAAACAGCATTACATCAGACTTAGGTAAAGACTAAATATCCATAATACTATTATTTAATTAATAAAAAACAATATAGGTATATTAAATATATTAATTTATTTCTTGTTTAACTTTATCAAATGTCTATTTTAAACTAACACTTCATAGTATGTATTATATTTAATTATATTCACTAATAAAGATATTTACCAGTAAATTTATATTAAAAAAAATAAATAATATATATTATGTACATACTTAAAGGCGTCAAATTCTGTATCTGAAGTAATAGAAGTCACCATTTTATTGTTGCTATAGGTGATTTAAGACAATTTCAGAAAAACTGATTAATATAACAGATTAATGTGAATAGTTTTTCTTACTTTTCAAGTTTAGAAATTAGAATGATAGATAATATGCGCATAGGTATTAGGTACTTAATAATCTAGCACAGAGTACTACTCAAACGTTTTATATATTATCACAATATACTTGACAATGTGAATTATTAAATCAGAACCGCACAGATTTATGGATAATATAAACATTCGTATTATGATAATACACGGTTTGTTATCACAAACTACGATGCACGATGTATAAAAGGGGAATTATTTTCTATTTCCCCTGGTATATCAGTGCTACCAAGATTTGTAATAAATAAACTGTACACAATTTTATGATTTTTGTTACATTTGAATAACTTTCAGACCTTTCAGTAACTTTTATTAACTTGAAAAAATTATTATTTTCATCAATTAAAAAATTGTCTGAACCTATCTAAGTGATTGGTAAACAAAGCAAGCAGGAGAACGAGTCCTCTAGTATTATAATATAATAAAGAAATAAACATTAAATAGTGTTAAAAAGTGGATTCATAAAATTATTTTTAATATTGAAGTCTAAATACTAACAAACCGTAACTTGTAGAGTGAAAAGTGTCGAAAAAATTTCTCTTTTTAGTCATTTTTGTAATAGGTTCAGGTTTCAGAATAATATGAATAACTAGCAATTAAAACTTGAACATAAAAAATACACGTTGTCAAAAAGTTGAATACAGTTTTTACTAAAATAATAATTAATAACCATTTTTATTATTCTGTTAAAATAAATTAAGGTTAATTAAAATTTAAAACAAAATAAATGAAAATAACTTTTTTTTCAATACAAATCTTATAGTTTAACAAAATTATAGTATAATATTACAATCTATAATAATTAGATTATAAACTAAATTTAATTAGAACAAAAAAAATCATCCTTTGATAAAATTTGAGATACAAAGTTATAAATATTTTTCACTTTAAGTCATTCATTAAATATACATATTTTTTTTTCAATCAATTTGTAAAAAAATAGTTAATACTTCTTTTAAATTTAACTGTCAGCCTTATATAACAGAAAGTATAATATATTTACAAGAATATATGTTTCTATAATCACATTTATGTAGAATAACCGTACTTGACTAGGATATTTATTATAACTTCTTAAAAATAGAAAGTATCAATCTTCTATTTTCCATTTGGCTGTGTTGTATGTCAGCTAGCATGTTTCTCAACTGTTCATGTTTATATGAATCACTAGCTTCTTTTCTTTTCATGTAACTAATAAACCATTCAGGTGGTTGATCTGACTTACTGCCATCATGTGTAAGTGTTGAAGAACGAGCACTTTCATTTTCAACAATACTACTCATCACACTTTGTATCCCATAGAAATATGGCCAATGGGTTTTAGACCTTTTGCTGATACCAGCAACTCTGCGGTTATATGCTCTTACTAAACTATTCCATTTATTCTCTAAATCTTGTTCAGTCAACAAAACCATGCCAATACGACGAAATTTCTTGAGAACTACAGTCCATATTGAATTTGGTTTACGAATCCATTTTTTCACTTCATTTTCTGCATCCGAGCGTAAATGTATTAACTTACGGGTTAATTCTGGATGCCATTTTACTCCAGCTTTTGTTTCTACAACACTTTCATCGCTAGCATCCGAGTCTTCATCATTATTAACACTAAAATCAATTACATAATTGTAAATATCCATTTTATTTTATACATTATATCAATTCAATATTTTAACTTACTTATCAACTTTGTAATTGTTTAATATTTCTCGCACTTCAGACTGTTTCCAAACACCCTGCATAAAAACAGGCACCAAATCTTCACCCGGACGTGGATGACAGGCATCTGGTATTTCTATTGTACCACCTAACATTTGATCCATAATGGCAAAATAAGGCCATTTTACATTTTCAGGTCCTTCGGCTTTTAATTTATCTAAATTTTCTTCATATTGTTCAACACATTGGTTCCATAAAGACTCTGCTTCATATGATTCAATGTCAGCGTTTCCACCAAGACTTTTGTTCATTTTTGTAATTAATTCATACCATAGTAGATCTTTTTCTGTTTCTTTGGTTGCATGGTCAAAACGATCTGCCATAGAACGTCGTAATGAAAACAAAAGAAGTATCATTTCTTGGGTCCATAATCGTATTTCTATAAAAAATCAATAACATTGCTCTAAATCTAATATTATATTATTTATTTTTAAACTATAATGTTCATTAGAAACCAAATTATAATAAAATTTCTTGATAAATAATAATTTTAAAATTACTGTACATTATTCTCTGATAAAACATACCATTATTTGCATTAGTTGTTGAAGTCAAAAAAAAATAATCCATATCATCGTTTGAATCTGTATTTATGGCTTCTTTGATACTGGAAACAAACACATACTATAGTACTCGGTCAAATCTCCATTTCTAATAATCAGTGTTGTAAACATATGTTTAAATTATTTAAATAAATAATCAAACATGAATATTAATTTGAATTAAACTTTTGTTTCTATTTCAAATAGTTTATAGGATGTTAAAATAAAAAAATGTATTCAAATACTTTACAACATTGTTAATAGTTATTAAAAAAAAATTAATATACTTTTCTGCATCAATATCGATGTCAACTTCAGAAGTCCTATTTACAGGATCAATCATTTTGTCCACCTCAATATAGGAGTCTGGTATTTTTAATTCATCAGTACCTCTAAGAATTTCATCCATAGCAGAAAAATGTTCCCACCGTACACTAAAATCTCCCATGTATTTAATTCTTTCAATATTTTTACGGTATGTAGCAGCAATATTTCTCCACTTGTCATCGCAATCTTTAGCAGTAACTTTCACCGAAGGCATGCTACTACTCATTCGTCGTGCAATCAGTTCCCATAATTTAAATTTATATTTTGATGAATTAAATTCTTCATTAAGACTTCCACGTAAAGCAATCAATAAAGATGTCATTTCTGTAGACCATTTTAAAGCTGGCACTAAACATTGAATTGTTAATTTTAATTATTAATGTTCCATACATAAATTAATTATAATTAAAGTGAATTTTATTATTATGTAAAATAAATTATTTACCAAATTGGGTAGGGTAGAAAATAAAATTTACTCACTACTACTATCAGGAATGTAAGTTTCATTTATTAATGATTCATTCCATGGACTGATTTCTGCATCATTTTGATTTTCAATAACAGATTTAAATTCAACTGAAGGTTTGGTTTCATTTAAGGATCCACTAAAAATAAGAAAAATTATTTCATTCTGTACATATTTCTTTCAAATTTTTACTACTTTAACAATATGGAATAAATTAAAAATATTGTCTTATAACATAACAGTTAATAAATGCACATATTAAATAAATATAGGCACCAAAATACCAAATAAACTAATACATACTCATTTAAAAGAGCGCAATGAAGTTCTTCAACACCATCATCTTGTACAATAGTAGAAACTTCTAATTCAATAAATGAACTAGATGTATCCAAATCATCCGTTCTTGTAATATTTACTGGATAATTGATTAAATTTCGGCCATTTGACATTAACATTCTTGAATTAATTATAGCTTTAATATAGTTCATCAACACCTCTTCTAAAAATGCAATACAATAATTTTCCTTAACTTATACATAAAATTTAAAAAATCTTAATAGATATACATTTATTTAACTATTTATTTAATAAATATGAATCATATATATTATTATTATTTTAATCGCAGTCTGACTTAACTATTGATGGTAAATTGATAACCTACACTGATGATTCAATCTGATATTTTCTAAAATTTGTGGGAAGAGGTCCATAACAAACCTACGATTAGTTTTAACAATTAAAAGTATTAGTGAGAGAGTTAGTTAATGATGAATTTAGACAACAACAATGTACATGAAATTCTCAATAAATAAATTTAATACATATATATTTTCAGTATTAATTCATTACTATAAAAGTTATTTTAATTGCATTATGAATAATTATGTACAAGTAGAATAAGTACCAAAAATCCGTGATTTAGGTAATATATTTGAAAATAACTTAAGATGGAACCTACATATGAATAATCTAGTTGGAAAGATTCAGTCCTTATCTTATACATTTGTCAAACTTAGAGATTTACTACCATTAGATACTTTACATACTATCTATTTTGCTTTTTAAAAAATCTATTTTTCAATATAAGCTTTTTAAATGGAAAGGTATTAAGATAGTTATTTAAAAATTTTGCGATTCAATAAAAATAATATATTAAGAATAATTCTAATGAAAACTTGTTTGAAGATTCAACAAAATTTAATTATATGCATTTAAGTATTCTCCCAGTTAGATACTTCTAAAAAAAAAAAAAAAATGTACTGTTCATAGTAAAGAAATTAATTAATCTACTAAGACTCTGTATTCTTGATGTAGTTAGTTTTTATTATATTTTTTTCATAGATGGTTTTATATACTTTTATATACTATTAATTAAAGTAATTAAAAGAGATGAATAACTATTAATTGAAGTAATTAAAATAGATGAATGACATAACCAGCTGATATTGTTGTGTGTATATTTCGAATATACTTACTGTCAATCTAACTTATTGTAATGTAAATATATAATAGTATTTGATAAGTTTATTTTATCTTTAATTTCTGCACAATATACAATATAAACATTAACTCTCTATCCACCACAAACTTAAAGGATTTAAAGGAGTAAATATGATATTCTTTATCTCTGTGTAATGTATTTATAAAGAAATATATTAATGTAAAAAAAAAAAATAATAAATAATGAAAATATATGCAAGTAAAATTTTAGGTAATAAGATTTTTAATTATTTTTTTTATAAAATGAAATATCTTCTTTAACTATGATTACTACATAATTAATATATTCTAAGTTGTAACACAAACTAAATATAGTGATATTAGATATATTTCAGAAATGTAAACCTAAATATTATAAATCCATGTTGATAGTTCATTGACTTTTTTTTTAATAAAAAATATTATGACCCAACATTTATATCAAAAGTTGTCATCAATACTTAAAATAAAAAGTTAGGGCTTTACATAAACAGGATTATACGGGGAACATTCAGTAATACATCAAATATCAATATTATAAGAAAATTGGAATATTTATCAAAATTATTATATACATTTCTGAACATACCATCGTCTAGTTTCTCAACAGTTCGCTTGTCAGTTTTAAACACAACTTGTTTGTTATTAATCTTAAAGAACAGTTGTTCAGAATCTACAGTATCATTTTCGTTTGTATTGTTGTCCTTGTCCATAGTTTAGAAAGTGAGCCTATGGTTATTACGACACACAAAAAAAAAAAATAGCTAAATTATATTGTGATTTGTGGTGTTCTATAAATTTGAAAACAAAAATAACTTCTTAAAGATGAATCGAAAAAAACAACTGTTCAACACAACAGAACGAACAAAACACAATCGATGGAAGGACTGAAGAATTAAATTGACTTTATTCTTATCAATGGTTACACTCTATTATCGCTTCCATGGTCTTTGGTTCAAAGCCTCAGAATGTCATAGAATAGATGGTAACCTAAAAGGTTACGCTAAAGCACTATAATCACAGATATATACAGTTTATAGGCCTATGGCTATGGATATATATTATAAATATCTGTAACCATAACACAATATTATTCCTCTTTATATCTATAATAATAATAATATATTGTTATCAAATACAAATATTATTCACGTGTGCGCTATGTGTGATAAGATAGTGAAGACTTCAGATTCATATTTATAATTTTTTAATTAAAGTAATAAAGTCATAAAGACTCTAAATTGAATATTAAAATTTTTAAAACGAGTTCAGTATGAAAAATCTTAAGCTGCACAAGTCTAGTGTAGTGCATGTTGAACAGTTAAAAGACGCTACATCGGTTCAGATAATTTCCAACGGTGAATTATGTTACTCGACCGATAGCGCCATTTGGCGTTTAAACTTAAACGGTCAACCTCGTCTTGTGGTAAATCTATCTACATCAGATGTATACATTACCACGAACTCCGACAATATCAAGATTACATCATATGCATACTACGAACCGTGGGATTCCTTTGTGGTTGGTTGTTCAAATGGCGATGTATTATTGATACAAGAAAATATTGTAGAAATCGCATACAAGTGTGAAGATGTAGTCTCCAATATACTGTGCAGTCCTGACTTTGAACGAATTGTTCTATTGACAGGCCAAGAACATATAACATTGGTGACAGATTGTTTCGAAATTTTAAACAGTTTCAACATTATTAAGGTTGAACTTTCAGAAAAGTTATTGGTAAATGTTGGCTGGGGAAAAAAAGAAACACAATTTCATGGATCAGAAGGCAAAGACAAAAGAGTAGTCAAAGAAGTTGTTGGAGATGGTGACAATTGTAATGATTCAATAAATATCTGCTGGAGACCGGACAGTTTATTATTTGCAATCGGATTTCTTGATAAAGTTGTTAATTTGAGATCTATTAAAATTTTTAATAGGGATGGAATTCTACAGTATATAAGTGAACCTCTCTCAGGTAGAACACCCTACCATTATTTAAGGCATAATGTAAACTTTCTTTTATTTTTATTGTTATTTTGATTTAGGAGTGGAAGCTGTATTAAATTGGAAAACTACTAAAGAACTTTTATCATTCTCTCAACATACAAATGATAAATATTTTATTAGTTTTATGGAAAAAAATGGACTTAAACATGGGGACTTTGAAATTCCATCTACAATTAATGTTAGTAAATATTTATAAATATTATAATTTATTATTATACTAATTTGTATATATTTTTTTTTTTATCTCTTTACAAATGACAGGTACAGCAGTTGTTGTGGAACCATGATTCTTCAATATTATGTATTCAGTGTACTGATTTAGACAATAATTATTTATTATTTTTATCGTGCACAAATTATGCATGGCAGATAAAAAAATGGATGACAATTGAAAATAAAATAATTACTGCGAAGTGGTTATTGGACAATAGTTTACAATTAATTACTAACAACGGTAATTACTACATACTTTATTGGACTGAAACTTTGTGTACTTCAAGTCCAGGAACTGAAGACTGGGTTGCTGTTATAGATTACTGTAAGAATATTATTATTTTTATTATTTAATTGATGAATTGATGGAATTTTTTTATTTTCTATTTGGTTTTTTAGGTTCAGTTTTACTAACACCATTTAAACAAGTCATAATACCACCTCCAATGTTTGATGTTAAATTAACTATAGAATCTCCTGTGGACAGTGTACTTTATTTGCCTAACAATCAAAGGTAAGATATTTTGATTATAAAAGTTCTTTAATATATTTCTATAAACATGGTAATGTATCATGTACGCATTATCAATATCACTGGTAATAGTATTATGTATCATAGTATAGCTTTTATCTATTAGTTTCTTTCAGAGTTCAGCTAAATTAATTTTAGAGTACAATATATAATAATTAAAATTACTGGCTAAAAACTTGTTTGGTAAAATATTAAAATAAATATGGGTTGAAATGTTTCCATTATCTTAAACAAATCTATAAATAAAGTTGTATGTGATATTAAACTAGCCAATATTTAAATTATAAATAAATTTAAATAATTTAATTAACACATAAATAGTTTTTATTAATCAACATACATTTCTGTATTTTAACTTTCAAGGCCTTCACTCTATTTCACTTTCATTAAATAACTTACTGTCCACTCTCTTAAATTTGTATACTATGCATCAGCTCCTCAGTCCGCAAAGTTCTATCATCTCATCTACTTCTTTTCCAAATTATTACCTCTATCTGCCCAAGTGTTGCATCCTTTTTAAATCTTCCAACATTCCTTTCAATGTTTTAAATATATTCCTGTATTTTCATTCTTTAACCTTACCAGTTATATCATAACTATTTTATTTTTTATACAATTAATATTTTTCAAATTATCATTTTATTCTTGTGAATTCAAACTCAATATTTTAATTGTTGAATATAATAGTGAAATAAAATTTAAATATGAAAATAAAAAACTTGCCATTATGTGTTTTTGATAAAGTTTAAACATTTTAGACTAATGAACACTGAATATCGATTTTAATTGCTTAATTTATTCATAATTTAAAAATATTTTAATTTGTATTATGTTGCTATAATAATATTGAATTAAATAACTATTCAAGATAAATCATTATATTTAGAAAATAGTTCAGCTTATTAAAATGTTTGTATTACTCGTCTAGTTCATCTTGACGGTTGCAACCGCTACAGTTTTTTAAAAACCAGTGGTGTATGTAGGACTGGTTTATTGGTGTTGGTGGGGGAGGAGGTTAAAGGAGGTAGCAAAAAAATAATAATTCCATTCTACAATAAAAGTAATTACAGTTATTTTTTCATGGAAGGAATTATCCCCCCCTCCTAACTTCAGTACACTACTGGTCATAAATTAAATTTAGTTTTAATATTTGTTAATTTATTGAATCTATTCCATAATATGCAAGATTTTATTTTTGCGTAATTTTTCAAATATGGCCGCGTATTTTATCATAGCCATTTTTATATAACCTAAAAATTTATATATACTCTTTGGAATTTGTTATATTTTGTCTTGATAATAAACTATGGGTCGAATGTTGTGTGTAAATGAATAATGATTATTGTTAAATATTTTCAAACGGTAAACGCGTTCTAACTTGTAATTATTTCTGTAAGATACTTTATTTTACTAAGTAGTTATAAATTAAATTTATAAAAGGACATTTTATTAAATATGTACGACTTGGGCGATGATGAATATGAGGAAGAAGAGGAGACCGAAGAAATTTCAAGCGAGCTTTGGCAAGAAGCTTGCTGGATAGTAATCAATTCTTATTTCGATGAAAAAGGTCTTGTAAGACAACAATTGGATTCGTTTGATGAATTTATTCAAATGTCCGTTCAGCGTATTGTAGAAGATTCTCCTCAAATTGAATTACAAGCTGAATCACAACATACACATGGTGAAATTGATACTCCTACTAAATATCAAATTAAGTTTGAACAGATTTACTTATCTAAACCTACTCATTGGGAAAAAGATGGTTCACCATCTCCTATGATGCCTAATGAAGCTAGGTTACGTAATTTAACATATTCTGCTCCACTTTATGTAGATATTACAAAAACTGTAATTAAAGATGGTGAAGAACCAGTTGTCACTCAACATTCTAAATCATTTATAGGTAAAATACCTATAATGTTAAGGTCCACGTATTGTCTACTATTTGGATTAAATGATCGTGATTTGACTGAGTTAAATGAATGTCCATTAGATCCTGGTGGTTATTTTATTATAAACGGATCTGAAAAAGTATTAATCGCTCAGGAAAAAATGGCTACAAATACTGTATATGTTTTTAGTATGAAAGATGGAAAATATGCATTTAAGGCTGAAATAAGGTCTTGTTTGGAACATTCATCTCGTCCAACTTCTACTCTTTGGGTTAATATGATGGCTCGTGGTGGTCAAAGTATAAAAAAATCTGCAATTGGCCAAAGGATAATTGCAATATTGCCATATATTAAACAAGAAATACCTATCATGATTGTCTTTAGAGCTTTAGGATTTGTAGCCGATCGTGATATATTGGAACATATAATTTATGATTTTGATGACCCAGAAATGATGGAAATGGTAAAACCGTCTTTAGATGAAGCTTTTGTAATTCAAGAACAAAATGTTGCATTAAATTTTATTGGTTCTCGTGGAGCAAGACCCGGAGTGACAAAAGATAAACGTATTAAGTATGCTAGAGAAATCCTTCAAAAAGAAATGTTACCTCATGTAGGTGTGTCAGATTTTTGTGAAACTAAAAAAGCTTATTTCTTGGGATATATGGTTCATCGTCTTCTTTTGGCTTCACTTGGTAGACGTGAATTGGATGACAGAGATCATTATGGTAACAAACGTTTGGATTTAGCTGGACCTTTATTGGCATTTTTATTTAGAGGATTGTTCAAAAATTTAATGAAAGAAGTACGTATGTATGCACAAAAATTCATTGATCGTGGAAAAGATTTTAACTTAGATCTAGCAATTAAAACAAAACTTATAACTGATGGTCTAAGGTATTCATTAGCTACAGGAAATTGGGGTGATCAAAAAAAGGCCCATCAAGCAAGGGCTGGTGTATCGCAGGTATTAAATAGACTTACATTTGCCTCAACATTGTCACATTTAAGACGTGTAAATTCTCCAATTGGGCGAGATGGTAAATTAGCAAAACCTAGGCAGTTGCATAATACTCTATGGGGCATGTTATGTCCTGCAGAAACCCCAGAAGGAGCTGCTGTTGGTTTGGTAAAAAATCTTGCATTAATGGCTTATATATCTGTTGGCTCTCAGCCATCTCCAATTTTAGAATTTTTAGAAGAATGGAGTATGGAAAATTTAGAAGAAATTGCTCCTTC